AAATGTTAAACCTTGTATCATTTACATGTACAGAGACCAGTGATGCAGAGACACAACACCATCACACTAAATACCTTAAGGCCCCGTCCACACGAAGACAAACCCTGGCCTAAACGCACAAATTTTTCACCAAACCAGCCTCTCATCCACACGAAGCCGGCGTTTCGGGGGTCTGTAAACGATCTTTTTTTTATTCAGCCTTCAGAGTGGGAAGATTTCGAAACGCCGTTTTCGCGTTTCCATCTTTACGCTCTAACCACATATTTTTTTTTTACACGCATGCGTCATAGCGTCGCCTCTAAACACGCATGCGCGACACATCACAACAACAATGGCGCTGTTGCTACTAATGCTACTCACCCTGCTGTCGGGCTTACAACAGAATCTTCTTCTTCTGGAATATCTCCAGGAAGAACAGAGCAATATCGACGACATAGTTCAGCACCTGAATTTGACTGAACCACGAAAATGGACCCGCAGGGCAACCATGTATAAATATTAGTGCCATGCCCAACATTTCGTCGCTTATTTTTGCTTTGGCACCACAGCGCCACTTACAGGCCTTGCATACATTTTGCAGCGTTTTCATGCATTCGTGTGGACGCTCACATTTATTTTACATCTCTGTCTTTACGGCAAACGTTTTGGAAAATATCAGCGTTTCGTGTTCGTTTTGACTTCGTGTGGACGGGGCCTAAGTCTTGTTTAGCTCAAATTTACACTGAATCCAGACTATTATATAACAGTAATTTTATCAGTGATGTTAAAGGTAGTCCTAGATGTTAGATTCATGTCGATGTGTCCAGCTTTCACAGCAGGGCCTTAGACTGAAGGTTGGTTAGTTCATTTCAGTATTTCATATGCTTCTTCCTCAGTTTTCTAGAATTCTCTAACAAAACACCTTTATATTATGTTTACTTTAGGTAAGACCTTCATATTATATCTTATTACAGTGGGCATAATTTTTATCTTTATTGCCATTCTAAATATATACCACAAGCACACATGAAGCAAATGCCATTGCAAATGACTCAGCAACCAAAAGCACAGCATTTAAAAGCATATATATTTAAAACCTGTTTATAAACAAGAAAACATCTAAAAGTTAATCAATTAAATAAATACAAACTGAGCAAAGACCTGAAGACGGTAAAGTAGCATTGTGCATACGGTAAAAATGATACAGAAGGCTTAATTAAGATATTGTTTCATTACAAAATGTATTGCGAAATTCAATTAGATTTGTTCCCTTGAATTACTGCAAAGAAGTTACAGAATTTAACTTTTACAGTTAGAAAGTCTTATAGTGTTAGGTATGGATACCTACAGGGTGTAAAATATCAGCAAAATCTGCATTGTGTGATAATAGTGCTTAATACTACGATGGTGACAATATCTCTGGCAATGTATGAATCATTATAAACATAGTAGTTGGGAGTATAAGTTAGCCTAACTTTTGCAACTTTAGTTTTCCTAGCTTTTTGAAACAATTCTTTTATGGCTTTGTGGTTGTATGAAAGGTGACAGGAGACTCAATCAGAATCTGGTAAATGCATAAGGGTACTTAAGTCAAAGCAGAAGTGTGCAGAGGTTGCCATTTTAAGTGCTGTCTTAATAGGGATGGTAGTGATGATGAAGGTAGGATTAGAGAGCTGGATTCTTTCTACTGATAGTTCCTTTAGCAACTGTGCTCCCAATAACAATATATATATATAAAATACAATATATATATTGTGGTTCCCTAACCTATACACCTGCAATTGCAAATCGCCAATTAAATATTTTTCTCTTGCAATCGCACAACATATTTGCATGCCAGTTGTGTGCACTCGTTCTGTCCCTGATGCTAAAAGTTGATATGGGTTTATATAACACATTCAGAAACTAATATACAGTGGGGGGAGTGGTTTGATATTGGAAGACAAAGAGTGAAGTGTAGTAATTTGAGTAAAACCTAAGGGATATCTGCAACAGAATATGTAAACTTTATGCTTCCCTGATATTACATAGACTTAGTTTAGGTAGCACTGGAGGAAAATGTGTCGCTCTTTGTAGGAAACTAAACAACAAAACTGAACTAACACTAAAATGAAAGGGTTCTTGCCTGCACATTTCTGTGCGAAACTACCATTTTGGAAAAAGAAAAAAAATATATCTTTGAAATATAAATAAACCCAAGCAGGCAAAAAAAAAAAAAAATAGTTAAGATTATCCACGTAGAAGGTAGCTTACATGTCTTGTAGTTTTATGCTGTTGTTCAGACTCTCTTAAACTTAAACTTTCCTCTTTCCTTAAACTAAAAGGAACACGTGTGGTCTTCAGTGGTTAGCATCGTTGTAAAACAGTGCTAATATTCTTGTTTTCCAACTGGCCAAAAAAACCTGTTTAAACCCTGGAACAATTGGCTTTTACTGGCGATAGGAACGGCTCAGTGATCTGTGTCCAACCGGGTCAAACGCCCCTGCAAGCAACCCATGTTAAAAATCCCCTTCAAAAGGCTTAGTTCATCAACACCAACGCAGTGTGATGACGTCACCAGACACACAGCAGTAGAGGGACAGAGGCCATGCAGCGTACCAGCAAAGGGGTAAGCTTTTTTTGGCCAATGGGAATTGAGCCAAATGTTGATTGTTAGTGGGTCAACCGGTTTTTGAAAAACCTGTGTTAACCTGCTAATTTCAATGGAAAAGAGGCTATATAGTCAGTATGAAATAAAATTATCTTTAGTTAGGGTGACCAGATCTGTGATTCTGAAAAGGATGACACTGTATTTTGTTTTGTTTTTTTGTTTGGGGGGCTGGGCCGCTCTCTGGACCAGACCGGGCACCCGGACAGGCAGGGAGCCAGCTAAGGACGGAACGACCGAACCCGAACCGGCAGCACAGGGCCGACGGTGTCCAGGCTACCATCACCGGTTCTACTGCACTGTAGTCGACCAAAATCCCGGACGATTTTGCAAATTCCCCCTGGACATTTTTCTAGGTATGAAATGTAGGATATGGGGGAAAAGGAGGGACGTCTGGTCAACCTATCTTTCATTGAATTTTTGCTCCACATTAAAAAATACAGTTATGATTGTCAAATAAATGCATGTCCAGGGAAAGACAAAAAGGAAGTGAAAATAAGCTGGGGCTACACAAAGCAAAGACCACCAAGTTTAACAAATACCCATACCTTTGATGTCATACGCTGTGAGAAGGTGTTTTGATCTTGTTTATCCTTACTAGGAAAAATCAAAACAAACTGGCCTCCTAGCAGCCTATGAACATTTAGCTGGATGTCCTGGTTTGACTATGCCAGCGTCTTCCAGTGACTCAGGTAATGACTGCTAGCATCATAACAATGGGGGAGTTGGCGATGTAACGGTTTGTGGTCCGAGTTGTGGCTGAACAAAGCCACTCTATATTTTATTAAATAAAGTCTCCATCTGTGTGAGCTTACACCTACCCCATGTACACCTAAATGAAATTAGCCACGCTATGCAGCTTCACGCAGATGCCACACCCAAGTCTTCCAACAGCAACAGGTTAATACAGAATGAAAAAAAGAACCAGATTCACCTTCTCACCATTCTCTTACTTTAAAGCTAAGCCATGGTCACGGTCAGCTTAATTAACCTTGTTGGCTGACATCTTGAGTCACGTAACAAAGCACCTGCTGTCTTAGTGAACATGTGCACCTCTGGGATCTAAGTGCCCTTCTGTGTCTTTAAGTGTGCGTCTCCACCTTTCCATCCTTCATAACCACCATCACAGCAATTCAATTAAATTCTTATTGTATAAACAAGGAAGGTCTATATTGCTAAAATAAAATAATATATATTAAAAACAATTAACCTAGTTCATGACATTAATTGGGAGTTTTTCCATCCAGTGATTCCTCAGGGTAGATGTGTATCCATAAATACTCAAATGATGGTTTGTCAACATCTAAATTAGGTTATCCCACTCCTCCATCAATGAGTACATATTTCAGAAATCTGTTTGTTAATCTGTGTAAGTAAAAATAAGCTTCTGAGCTTTTTAGTGTTATTTATGATGTCCCTGTCTAAAGTTGTGGACTCAATAAAGAACCAAAATATGTTCCTGGTTGTAATAAAAGGCATCTCTTCACATTATCCTCCCAGATTAATATCATAGCAGGGTGATGATTTAATGAACACCTTCTATTATGTGAAAAAAAAAAATGTATCCATTTTACAGCCATTGCTATCCAAAGTAAATAGACGCTGACCTTATTGAATCGGAAATGAGTTTCAGAATTAGCTGAGTGGCAGAAGTAAACAGGAAATACCTGTGAATCTTATATCAAGCACATAATTTACAGTCAGAATTAAGTGGTAATGTAAAGGAGTTAAATTAGTTGATGAGAATCAGGGATTAAAACGTTCTCATTATCTCACCTGTTTGTCAATACGTTCAGCACAAGTATATTATAGTTACTTAATTTAGTTAAATCAAGTGTGTAAAATCTGACGACATATAAAACTTATAAGGCTGTGTGTTCTGATGACTATGTTGGAAAATCACTGAACTACAACAACAAAGGAAGTTGTTAAGCTAGAAACACTTCGTCGTCTTCTGTTGTTAGTACCTTCGGGGTTGTTTGTAAAGATAAATTGTCTTGGACAGAGCTACAGGTGGTTGGAACTATACGCTAACAAATATGGTAATGATACTGTAGCTTAGCTCCAAATTTAACCAAGTAACATTCAGTTCAGGTAATATATAATCGGGTCAAGTTAATAAAGTAACTTGATTAAAATACCTGATATAAAATAAAAAAAAAAAAAACAAAAAAAAACAGGTGAGGCAATGTTAGAGAGTCGCGGAGTTTCAAAGCTAAGGCTAACTCCACTGATTGTCTACGGTTAGGTTAGCATTTCCAGGAACTAGCCGGAGCCCTGGGCGATTATTCATTCTCTGGTCATTTCGAATAAATTGATATACCTTATAACAAATTCAAAAGTAAAACGTCTACAATGTAACAGCGATACGTACCAGCTCATTTCAATGAACCTTTAATCCGTTGTCCCTTGATAATAATGTTATCTTCCAAATAACATAGCTTTCTATCACAGCACTTCTGAGCGTCCAACAGGAAGTGACGTCAGCCAAGCCGCTTAATTTCCTCCGAGTTTTTTTTTATATATATACAACAAAAATAAAGAGCGAGTTAAATGTCATATGTATGGCGTAATATATAAATAGTAACAAATACAACAGTCATTTTATTTATCAAATCCTGTATTAATTTGTCTATAAACTTCTCTATATCTTGTGTGTTTGAAGGAACGTGAGGAAGTAAACAAAAGGCAAGTTATATATTTCTTTATTCAAGTACTTACATGGAAATAACAAAACATTTGCATTACAACAAACTGAAGTGCCAGGTAAACGGGGGAGCACATCTCCCTATCACAAAGATATAGTGAAATTAATTTAAATATTTAGCTCATCATAAAATGACCTTATTATAAGGTAATAAAACATTAAATAGGGAAAAGACATCCACAACACAAAACAAGACCCCTTTTCTTTAACAAAAAAAAAGCCAACAGAACAGTTATCCC